CAGGGACAGAGGTGAGCCGACCCCTCTGGCCGAGGGTCTGATGATGGAGGACTTCGGCTGGGCCCCATCTCCCCTCTCCCATCACTACCCCTCTGCTCAGGATCCACAAGGAGAACTCAGTGTGGGAAGGGGTGGGGAGGTGGTCAAGGCAGCAAGGGTGGGGGGCACAGAAACCAGGCGGAACTGCTAGCAGCTGGTTGGAAGAACGTGGATTTAATAGAATGAAGGGACGCCAAACAGAGCTCTCACCCCCACTCCCCAGCTTCCCCAGCCTCCCATCCCAAGGCCCCTCTCAAAGGGGATGCTTAGATCCTGGCCCTTCACACCCATCCAGCCACCCTTGGAGCAGGGGAGTCAGGGTGGGGGTGTGCCATCCTCAGAAGGTGGATTCCAAAATGTCCCCTCTTGTCTTGTCTGCCCCAGGTGGGGCGCATAGCAGCACAGGAAGCAGCACAGGGGGCTGCTTCCACCCTTTGCTTCTACCACTGTCTCCACAGCCAGGCTCACTGGGCCATCCCAGGGCTGCCCCCTAGCAGTGGGACTCCGGTTCTGTGAGTATGAGAAGTGAAGTCCTGGGTGTGGCCGGGGCAGAGGGTCCTGCTCGGTCCCACTGGGGCAGGTCCTCCGCTGGACACATGAGCTGGCGAATTCTCTGCAAGGAAAGTAGGGGTGACCATCACGAGCTGGAGTCGAGGCGCCAGGTCAGCCAGCGTCCCTCATCGCGCATCCCATACAAAAAGTGCCCTCCAGGTGCCTGCACTATAGCCACATCCAGGGTCTTGGAGGCATCCTGTCTCTTTCCAAGACTTCTGAGCACTCACTCTGTCCCTCCCCGATACCCACCCCAGGATCCCTGGCGCCCCTGTGTACCAGCTTCTACCAGGCAGGCAGCCACCTACCAACAAGAGGACCCCAGCTCATCTGCCTGCTTTCCCGCCACTAGCCCCCTACCTCTCTGAAAGAGCCCTTGAGTGTGCTGAGTTTGTAGAAGCTCCAGGCGGGAATGCAGACCATGGAGGAGAAAGCCAGGAGCCAGCCCAGGGCATCACCCCACCACGGGTACATGTACTTCTTATTGTAGGTCAGCGGGCTGTACTTGATCAGGGAGAAGAGGAAGGTGGCCTGGGGGTGAGAGCAGAAGAGCACGAGCCCCCTGGACCAGCGGGCAGAGCTTTGCCTCCGGGCTTGTCTGGGCCAGTCCGCCTACACACTCCATCCACATTCCGCTTAAAATCCACACCCTCCAGGAGATATTTCCAGGGCCCCCACCCTGTCCCTCCAGGGCCCCCATGCCCCTGGCATCTCTACCCGTGGTTGACCCTCCACTGGGACATGTTAAGTGCCTGGCTGTGAGCCCCTGGAGGTCACGTCCCCACCCCCGGCTCATTCATCCGCTGTGCACAGCGGGCACTCCGGGGAACTGCTGGGACTCAGGTGAGACCAGATAAGCAGCACTTAGACTCCAGACCCCAGAGCCCAGCTGCCTGGGCTTGAACCCTAGCTCCTGACCACTTTCCAGCCTGGGCAGACCTCCTAACCTCCTGCGCTTCCGTTTCGCCTGAAAAAATGAATATGATGGTGGTTCTTACTTCCTGGGGTTCTTGCGAGCCCTGAACGGGCCACACGTGTGAAGCCCTCTGGGCCCGGCACCAAGCGAGCGAGCGCTCCGGAGCGGCCGCTAGCATCACCGCTGTGCTTATCAGTGTTGTCATTATTTTTAAAACAATGAAAGACAATTTGAATCCAGCACATGGACGAAGACAGAATTAAAAGCTTGATAACATCCAGTGTTAATAAGGAGGTGGGAAAATAAGCACTCTACTTCACTGACAACACGGGTTACTTCAGTGCTGGGAGGGCTGTTCTGTCAAAAATTTAAAAGGCTTCCCTTGAAGATTGTGTGCTATAGGCACTCTACACGGTTAGGTAAATTCTATGCACACCCACGTGTGTATGGACACGTATACACGTACGTGTATGTGTATGTATGTTCATACGTATGTATTTACTAAATTTATTTACTGAAGATTGTTGTGCTATTAAAAATACTGCCTAGGAAACAACCCAAAGATAAAATAAGAAATGAGTAACCAGTCCAACACCCTGTGATGCATCTGCACAGTGGCACAGGGCACCGCGCTTGGCAGCACTGTTGCCGGCGGCCGTGCACCTGCCTGCGGCACTGCACTCACACCGTGGTGTTGGTCAGACTGTCGGAACAGCCGTGGACCTCAGTTTATCCTTGTGTGAAACGGAAAGGAAGAGCCGGCATTTCTGGGAATGCTGGCATTTTCTAGAATCCACCAGGAGGATGAATGAAACGTTAAATGGTTCTCAGGCCCCAGGGAGAAGTCGCTTCCAGCGCTGATGGCCCATCCACCCTCCTGCACTGCTGTCCCCACTTCGTCCAGCTCTCCCCCCAAAGGCTGTCTTACTGTGCACACAGCGGGTGTGAGGAAGAGCCAGCAGTACTTGATAAGGGGCCACGGCCGGTACCCGATCATGTCTTCAATGTTGTCGTAGAAGCGCCCGGCTCCTACCAGGAAGAGAAGAAGCGGGAGCAAGGGCATCAGTTAGCAGCCAAAGCATCCGGACGGGGGACCACGCCAACCAGGAAGGGCAGGACCGACCACCAGAAGACAGCCTGGTTGCCTTCTCGGGTCTCTGCTGGAGCAGCACCTCCCCCGGAATTCACAGTATAAACAGCAGTGGGCAAAGGCAGGGATTTCTGATGTCAAAGGCTGAAACGCTTCGATAGGCAGGACACGGGCCCACCTGCCGTGGTCTGGGCACAGCTACAACCAGGAGGGGGACAAGGCCACCTCTGGGGGGCTAGTCCCATGGTAGCCATGTCGGATTCTTGAGATGGTTGAGGTTAGGGAGGGAGGAGTCCCGGGGAAGGTGGGTGTGAGCAGTGAGGTCTCTCTTTTGTCTAAGAGCCGGGCAGAGGTGAGTGCTGGGGTCGGGGCCACGGGCAGAGTCACTCACCATAGGCCCAAGCCACACAGAGGGACTCAAAGATGGCCACAAACAGAAGGCACATGCCGCTGGCTGCGTAGTAGTCAAAGAGCTGGAACACGTACATACCGCCCTGCCTCAGGGGAGAGAGGAACAACTTTACCCAGAGCACCCTCGGGGCACAGAGCAGAGGTCCGGAGGAACCCAGGAGAAAGAGATTAAAAGACAGTGTGGTTTGTAAGCTGTAAAGCACCGGGCAGACATGAGACAATAACAATGTTTGATTACTGTTTTTGGAAGGAAGGTGGATGAAAGACAGCCATTGTTAGCTCATCCCTGAGAACGTGCAGGGGTTGACCTGGGGGCCTAAGACACCGGGTGCATTTGTGGTGGAGGACCAGGATAGGGGCCATCATTGGTACCGTCCAGCTGGTGTGCCCCAGCTCCCTCCTTCTCCCTTGAGGCATCACACGGAATGTCTCCCACCCCAGGGCCCCCTTTCTGCCTTTGAAGTCTGTCCCTGGAACTTGGGTCCCCTGCCTGGGAAATCATGGGATCTTGCTGGAGAGGCAGTTTCTCCGGATCCAAGCTGTCCCACCCATCCTTTCTATACCTTTCAGCTTACATGGAACCAAATCATCCCTCAGCCGTGCCCAGATGGTTGAGGTTGGGGAGGGAGGAGTCCCAGGGTTAGGGACAAGGCCCAAGGGCCACAGGCTGGAAGTGCCTACTCTGTGCATCCTGGGGCAGGAAAGGACAGAGCCCCCGGCCCTGAAGCCAGGAAGGTGGGGGCCTGAAACACAGCAGCCTGCTCCCCCCCACCACCACACCCTCCAGTGCCCACTCCCCTGCTCCCCTGCTCCCCCTCCCAGGTGGCAGTCATCCACTGTGGCTCCTCCTCGCCGGGGCCCCACCTGCAGGCCCTCACCTCCGTGAGCATGACCAGCCCGACGAGGAAGGAGAGGACAGACACTCCAAGGATGAGCACCTCCCTCCGGTTCTTCTTGCGGAACACGCTGGGGTACATGTCCACCAGCGCTGTCACCAGGCTTTCCACACACACAAACTGGATGGGCGGGCGAAGAATTGCAGGGCGGGCACCCCCATGAGAAGCCCCTCCACCAGCTCTGGCCCCCTGACCCGAGGCAGCCCTGCCAGCCTCCGTCTCACGCCTCAGAGCCATCCCTGTGTGCTTGGGTCTGGGTCCTGCTCCAAACTCCCCTCGGTCCCGGGAAGGACATCCACTTCTGACACCCGCCCGGCCCCCAGATGATTTAAGGTCCCTCCGGGCGTCAGGTCGAACCTGGTGCCCTCTGCTCCCCACCACCCACCTCTCAGGCTCCAAGCGGACACCTCTTGGTACCTGGCTATCCAGTCCCAGGAGGACGACCATGAAGAAGAAGCAGCAGGCCCAGAGCGGAGAGAAGGGCAGGAGGACCACAGCTCGGGGGTAGGCGATGAAGGCCAGGCCGGGCCCTGTGGCGTGGGGCGGGGAGATGGCCCAGTGTCACCCCAGGCTTCCCAGCACGGGGTCCCGGGACAACGGGAGCCCCAGAGCTGCTCCCTACCACTGTCTTTGCCCCCGAGAAGCCCCCTAGACCTCTCTCTGGTGCCCAGACCTCCAAGGCCCTGCCCAGTTTTCTCACTGGCAGGAACAGAACCTAAAGGCTGTGGGTGTTTAAAAGGGCTTTGGGGAGTAGGAAGGGGGTGTATCACCTGCATTTCTGTGAGTTCTACCCCAGATCCTTAGGGCTCACTCTCCAGACCCATTGCCCCAAACCAGAGGTTTCAGACTTCAAAAGAGCTCAGGGCCAGGCAGGCCATGGACCTTTGTGAAGCTGGCCCAGGGCAAACAGAGGACGCAGGGGGCCTGCTGAACCTGGAGCCATCGTGCCCCCTTAAGGCAACTGCTGTGTGGTTTCTACCACGTTCCAAAGAAAATATCTCCAAGACTAGATTGGGGCTGGGGCCACCGTTGGCCACCTCTGGACCCCGACAGCAAGTGACCTGCATGAATCCCAGAATAACCCCCCGCCACATCCTCTCAGACACATAATGCTCCCCTCAGCTGGCTCAAATGGCAGGAACAGATGCAGCCGCCAGGGCTCCTGCAGAGGACGCTTCCTTGGAAAGAAAGTGTAGGACCATGTGGGACCACGCTAGCACCTGCCCCACAGCACTCATAGCGAGGCTCGGGCAAGCAGTTGGCACGGTGAAATCCGATCCTTGCTTCTTCTTTTAATTTATTTTTTACTTTTGTTGTCGAGAAGGTAGTTCGGTTTATTACTCACTTGATGGAGGTACTGGGGATGGACCTCGTGCACGCTAGGCATGCGCTGCACCACTGAGCTACACCCTCCTCTGCCGACTGTTCTTAGCAAGAACCAGTGATGTCAGCTGCCTGGCACCGGCTGGCACTCTGTGTGACAGCCCTGTGCCTGTGAACCCCACGATCAACACTGCCTTGTTACAGAGTGCGAGGGGGTGGTCCACGGGAATGGGGGCGTGTGAGTGAGGGAGACGCTGACAGCTTACCCAGGTGGGGGACCAATCTGATTTCATTCAAAAGCAACAGCACTGCGTGGTAGGAAGTCAGGCGCTTAAAGGAGGAACCTCCACGGGCCAGTGAGAACTCATCTCTGAGATGCTCTTTAAAGTGAAGAAGACAGGTGAAGGGTGCAGGACAGTGTATGCAACATGTTATCATTGGTAGTTAAAGGTGTAGGAAATAGAAACAGCATTATGCATGCAGGTAGGGATGTGTATGAATAGACATGTGTGGCTCCTTTTTTCTCATGAAAGCCTAAACTATTTCTGGAAGGGAAAATATGAATCTGGAAATACTGGTTGCCTGCTGGGTGAAGAACTGGAGGCCAGGGTGGGAAGGAATTGTTCTCTGCACACCTGTGCACCCTTTGAAGTTGGAATCGCTGTTTAATCCCACACCACGTCTTCCCAGGACGCAGCCACTGAGAGGTCACCCACAGTGTAGGTGACAATAGAGATGCCTGTAGATCCTGGTGGGTTGGTGAAGGTTCACACAAAGCTCACAGGATCCGCTGTCTCAGGCCACCGCCCGGCCAACAACACCCACCTGACTCAGCCACCTCGGAGATGGGCACCCCCTGCTCCTGGGACATGAAGCCCAGGATGGAGAAGATGGCAAACCCGGCCACGAAGCTGGTGCCGCTGTTGAGGAAGCAGAGGGCGATGCAGTCCCTGCGGGGGGCGGGGTGGGGTCAGGAGGGTCAGGGGGCGGCCCAGCAGGAACCCCGGGGGTCAGAGGGCACGGCCAAGGAGCTGGTTCTGTCCCCCAACACCACCAGCTCACACTTGGACTAAATCAAGGTCATCCTACAAAGATGAGGCTCTACGGAAGTAACAGAAACCCTAAAAATGCGCCCTGCCTCACAGCCTCCCCGCGTCCGCTGTGTGGCCACCACACCTCCTGGGACACTGTCCCTCTCACACAACCCAGTCTGGCCCGTTAACGGAGCGGAGATGGGCATGCGTGACCCCAAGCTACAGATGATCTTAGTCACCTAAGTTTGATTTTGAAATGATGTGTCTAAGCTGTTTAAAATCGGCTTAAATTCTCTGACATGAACCAAGCGGGCCGAGGGAACCGCAGGGAGGGATTCGGTGTTCGGGGGGCCCAGGCACGGAGCCGGCTTCGCCGTGTGACATGACCCCCTCGCGCGCTGCTCTCGCGCCTGCGCCCCCCGCCCTCTGAGGCGCGGGCCCGTTGCGGCTTCCCGCCACTCAACTGGCCATCCTTCGCGAGCAAGCCCTCTGGCCCATCCCTGGGCTCCTTTCAGCAAAGGGTTATAAGCGGGTTAAGCAG